GAGGTGGGGGGGAGGTTGCAGGGGGCCTGGCTGGGGAAGATCAGAAGGGGATGTGGGGGAGAACCAGCTGGCAGGGAAGGGGAGGGGTGAGCAAATTGGCTGGCGGGGAGCGGGACTGACCTGGGCACATGCAGATCCCAGGGCGCTCCTGTCCCGCCCAGGGTCCAGGCGAAGCACGAGTCAGTCCAGCTGCGGTTCCACCATGCGCTTGACCAGCGCACAGGAGCACGGACCAGGCTGCCCCTCCTCCTCACACACAATCAGGGCTCTCAGCGCCAATTGCACCCTGCCTCCCAGCCACTCTCTCGGTCCCCACCAGGCTTCCGTCCAGGGTCCAGCTGGAAAACCAGAAAATACTGGACACAGCACATGTCTGGTATTTTCTGGATTTTTTTTACTGGACAGAGGGTCCAAAAACCGGACTGTCCAGTAGAAAACTGGACACCTGGTAACCCTAGGCCCCATACAGTCAACCTGTTAACAATTCCTTCTCTTCTAGACTGAGAGGTCTTCAGTGTACACAGGGCCTCTGCTGACTTCAAATATGGTAATAAGATGCAGGAAAGAGAGGTGACTTATCACATAGGGAGATCCAAGCTAATAAGGGCTTGCTATAGACAGCACCAAATTTCAAAACAAGCTATTTTGAGATAAGACGCAGTGTAGACACACCCTCTCTCTCCATTAACGAGGCACATACCATTCACCATTTTTTCCCATCTGCCATCTTCACTACTATTCTTTCTACATAGAGCTTCAGCCAGCTGTCCTTCACCTATGCCCCAGTCCAGGAGTGGGCAATAATTTTTAATGGGGGGCCACTCCAAGATTTTGGCAAGTGCTCAAGGGCCGCATTCCTACTGAGGAGGTTTGGGGTCTGGAACAGAGGTTGGGTATAGAAGGGAGTTTGGGGTAGGAGACTGAGGTGTAGGAGAGGGTATGGAGTCTGAGAGGAAGTTTGGGTGAAGGAGGGGGTTGTGATCTGTGGCAGACTTGGAGTACAGGGTCCAGGAGGGAGTATGGGTGTAGAAGATGATTCTGGCCTGAGGGAGGTCTCTAGTAGGGGTGCAGAGTCTGGGAGGGAGTTGTGACTTGAAGGAAGGGGTGCGGAGGGTTTGGGTGTTGACATGGGGCAGGAGAATGAGGTGCAGGATCAGGGAGGGGGTATGGGTGCCGGAGAGATTCTGACCTGGGGAAAGGGTGTAGAAGAAGGTGCAGAGTCTGGGAGGGATTTGTGACCGGGTAAAAAGGGTACAGAGAGTTTGGGTGGTGGCCTGGGTAAGACAGTTGGTCATGGAGCAGAGAGAGAGAAGGGGCACCAGAAGCAGGCTCTGGCTGGGAGATGCTTACCTAGGCAGCTTCCAGTCAGCAGCCCTGCAGGAACCTGAAGGCTACAATCTCTCAAGCTGTTCCACGTGGTCTGCTCTGGGTAGGGTGAAGGGGGGGGGGAGGAAGGAGGCTTCATTGGCTGTCTCTGCCACCAGCAAAATATCTCAGCTGCTATTGGTCAGAAGCTGGCCAATGGGAGCATAGAGATTTTGCTGGGGGAGAGGGGACAGAGCATAAAGCCCCCCTCCTCGCACCCAGAATAGAGCAGTCACATTTTAAGTGGTGGCTGCCACTGTGCTATATTTAAGGGTCCCATCAAGGCAGCCTCAGGCTGGATCCGATGGCTTGGTGGGCCGAATCTGGCCCACTGGCAGCCTCTTGCCCACCCCTGCCTCAGTCTCTGGCAGACAGTGATAAAATGAATTGGACTCTTCCCCCCCCCCCCCTTTAGAATAGCAGAAATGATGGGCTGTTGGTCCATGACTTATGAACATTATGGGCATGAAACTGATGGGAGACTCTTCATCCATGCTCTCTTAATGCACATCCTGTGGGGGCTTACTGCAGGTACAGCAGATATGCTTAATTTGACCAACATTTAAAATGCTTAAAGCTAACCTTTCTGAAGGGTGAAATGAGGAAGAGCTGTCCGTTCTGTATGGAAAGTATAAGCAAGGGAATGTGTTAAACCTGAGCTCTGTAATATTTACTGTATAGCAAAGTAGTTTTTCTAGCTTTCTCAGTGACACCTTTCCCAAATCCTGGGAGCCAAAACAGCCTTTCAGGAACAGGTTGTGGCCAACTATGACCAATATAAATCAGAAATAACAACACTCCACTCAGTGGAATTACACTGGTATAAAACAGAGGGGCTACGTCTAGACTGGCATGATTTTCCGGAAATGCTTTTAACGGAAAAGTTTTCCGTTAAAAGCATTTTCGGAAAAGAGCGTCTAGATTGGCAGGACGCTTTTCCGCAAAAGCA